CCTGGTGAAGACCTTGCTGCCAGTTTTTAGGCCGGGGCAGGCGACGACGGTGTCTGCGGGCACCTCTTCCTTCTTGAAGGCGTCGCTAAGGTGTTCCTGCTCGCTCCACTACGCAAGGATGCTCAGGGGAAACCCATGGTCCCGTGGGATCGGACGATGATGGCGACGTGCTCCACACCTCTTGGGGCATCATTCTAGGAGCTCCTTACCGGCCAGAAGGACCAGTGGTAGATGGGGATGATGTTCGGCTACTTGGTCGTGGCCGTCCGACAATGAGGGCGGTTTGGCTTTTGTGGCAACGATGACGATGGTGAGCATCGTCGGAGGCATGGCATTGGTCAGGGTAGTTGACTCTTCTCCGACATGTCCATAAGATTACCTCGGCTGCTTGTTGCTATGAAGTCGAAGCTGCGGGGCGGGGCACCGATGGTGTACGATGACAGGTGACAGGTGATCCGTTCGGTGATCTTGTGTGACGCCAACCTTGCTTTGTTTCTCCATAGTTTTTCGTCTGAGTCGGAGCTGCGTTCTCTCTCTGTGGGTGGATGGCGTTCCGCCTTGTAAGTGTAGTGTTGTCCTGCAGCCAATAGGGTTTCCATTTTTCTTTTTCTTTGATCTTTGGATCCTCGCCATGTTGTTCTTCTGCTGCTTTTTGCTAAATCTAATTGAAGCCAGGAATTTTCTGGATCTTTCAAAAAAAATACGGTAAGGTGATCATAGAAGTAAAATACAGATGTGTGCACAATACGAGTAGAATTTTGGAAGTAGCTTGAAGCATGACTTATCTTGTCCACAGTTCACCTTGGGTTTGTTTCACCTTATTTCAATCAAGCAGGACTTCTCTTGTTCACATTTATTTTGATAGATATAAGCAGGAAGGCATATCTTATGTGGTAAAATTTTAATTCCTGCAACACTAAGCTACCATTTCTTTTATGGGTCTTAAGTTACTTTATGATTCATCTCTTTATGCTTGCATCTCTTTCCTGGCTATGCATTACACCGTGTACAATAAATAACAATGAGAAACACCATAGAGCGAGTGTTTATTGGTATATATCTCAAATTACCTTTTTCTTTGAACGGTGAAAGGTGTTAAAGGTGCCAAATATATTCAGCTCATGAGCAGTTTACAGCAAGAGTTACATAGCCTGATAACCCTGAAGATTGACATGGTACAGACAGGAGATTACATGACACTCTCTATCTTGATGATCTGAAGAGATACAACTAAAGACATGCTTTGTCTATCTACATTATGAGCAACACCATTGAGGTCTCTAGAAATGTGCAAAATCTGGGTCTGTATATTTTTAGAAACTTTAAATTATTTGGCGATATCTTTCCTCAGGTCCCAGCAAATATTGTCAGGAACAAGTTTTCTGCATGTTGCTGCATTGGCCAGAGTGAAATTGTCAGATAAGAGCGTGACACGTCGGAGTTGAAGATGTTGATCTATTGTTGTTCGTCAATAGAAAATCTGCCGTTTCAGCTTGTAGTGGATTTGGTGTTGTGGACATGGAAGCCTGAATCTGAATCGTGGTTCTGTGATTTTCTACTGGGAGGTGCATTGTTCTGTAGCAGTACCTCCAGTGGGCTGATGCTCTTCCAAGACCCGGGGCTGGTACTGATCTACTCCGTAAGCATGGGCGGAGTTACAAGAGGACATTGGTGTACAAATGTACACCCATTAATTTTGATACGAAGGCATAAACTAGGTAGATAAAAAATATATAAACTGAAAGTAGTTAAGAATTTCATAAAATTTTAAACTCTGTACACCCATTTTGAAAAATCTAGCTCCGCTACTGTCCGTAAGCAGTGTCAAAGTGAAGTAAATTTGTTTGTGCTGCTTGTTTGCGTGTCATGTGCTTCCTCTGTAAATGAAGATCGTCTCTTGCTGGCAGTAAAGATGGGCTGAATCAACGTGCTCATTTTAAATGTGTCACTCACAACCTTCTGGGTTCGAAAACTATGCTATTAAACTGCAGTGGCAAGGTATGGGATCTGATGGTAGAGTATGGACCAATGGTTGCCTGTTCGTTGGTTGGTATTTACATTCAACCCCAATAAATGGAATTATTATTCGTTGGTATTTACAGATACAGTAGGATCATATTTGCACAAGATAAAAAATGTTTCAGATGATTGGTAATACATTTCAGCTCATCTAGTGGTTGAGACGTGTCCTATATATGCCATTAGCTATCGACCCATGGTTCGCCTAAGACTAGTAGTGGCTTTCCCAGTGTCAACCAAGGCATAATGAAATCGACCCATGGAGAAGGACCGTAGGCTTGATCTCGAGGGTGACTGTGACAAACATTAAGGGCATTGGATTGTAAATATATGATGTTCCATGGGACTATGATGCACCGGGAATTGACGCAAAGCGAGTGTATGCTCGGCCATTCACACCACTAGTGATGCAAGACACAAACCTAGAGTGTGTACATTTTGGCATCTGTGGGCAAGTTGACGGGCAAAGCGTTCCAGTGTCACGCTATCTGCATTGCAAGAATGTTTAAGGGAAGAAGCCTACGCTTGGTATTTTGACTATTGGCCACTGAAATTTTCGTCTCAATACTCTACAGTCGTACAAACTTGACTCTGAATTTCTGAAATTGGGCAACTTTGATCACTTGTGCAGCCAAAATGTGCTAGTGGTTTTCTTAATATCACATCTCAACAGAGATGTTCCATTAGAAAAAAACCAGGAAGTTTAAAAAATAATTTGATGATATATTCAATAATAGAATATTTGAAAAGAAACGAAGATAAATGATTCGAAAACCCTAGAACTGCAGAAATTAGTGAACTCTCAACAAAATAAAAAATTGTTAGCTTTACTGGTCTGTTGATGGTAATGCAGCCTAAATGTTTAATTAGCAATTTCACTTCAAAGATATTGCTTTGTTTCACTGGTTCTTTTCTCATTATAGGGGTATAGTCAAATTGGTGTTTTGTCTCTAGGAGACCTTTAGGCCCCTCTTTGAGTAGTTATTCTTAAGGTGCACGCCATTTTGTTCTCCTGGAAAGGATGTACTGAAACTGAGAAGTTTGATTTGCAGTGCCAAAAGTGAACGTTACTCCGTTTGGTATGTTTTGCAGAAGTTAATTTGAGATGTACTCTATTAGGTGCTGCCTCCTTAATTTGGTTCCCAGGATTCAGGATGATGACGAGGAGATGCTGCAAGCTGAAGAGCTCGTAGGTAGGCATCAGGATGAGAGTACCGCTGATGAAACAGATGCTAGAGTGCTGCAAATGGACAGTAGGCCACAGGTTGGTCAGCAATAGGTTAGTTGTAACTTGTGACTCTGTTTGTTTGTAATATGGTGATCTAACATTAGCATGGAGTTCATCTTGCTTCGCTTGATCTGACAATGTCGGTGCGTCTGTCAGATATGGTAGCCAGAGCCATGACGAACATTTAGTTTTTGTACAGTTAGTAGATTAATTTTGACTGCCATTGGATTGTGATGTTGTTGAGTGGAACTAGTCTGGTACAACAAGATAATGGAGTGGTACTGATATACTGCATGAGCGGTGTCAAAGGGAAATTAATTTGTTTGTGCTACTTCTTTGCGTTCTTGCTTCCTTTGTAAATGAATCTTGCGTCTTGCTGCCAGTAAACATGGGTTAATCAAGCCCACAGAAAAAAAACATGGGCTTAATCGACGTGTACTATGCAAGTGTTAAATTAAGCATGGGGACCACAGTGGCAAGGCTTGGGATCTATTGGTGACAGTATGATGTAGAGTATTGACAAATGGTTCCCTGGTTAGATAACTGAGCTACTGCTTATGAAATCGTGTGGTATTTATGCTTTGTTTCTGAAAGAGTACAGAAATCCAAACCCAATAAATGGAATTATTCCTTGGTATTTACAGTTAGGAGATTTGTTTTCCATTAAGACATAAAACATGCAAGATGATTGGTAATGCATTCAAGTTTTAGACCATCGGGTGGTTGGACCGTGTGCCTTTATATGTCAATAGCTATCGAGGTGTGGTTCACCAAAATACTAGTCCCTTTCTCAGTGTAAATAAAGGCACAACAAAACCGTTGAATGTCACTGAAGATATGGAGGACTGGAGCCTTGTGGGATTGTATGTTATATGCTGATCCATGGGTATATGATGCACCGGGAATTGAAGCAAAGGAAGTTTATGCAGTGACAGAACTAGCAGTGGGATATGCCTGGAGCTGATCTAGCTTGAGCCATGGAATCTCCTGATTTACTGTACTTTGAAGAAGGGAATTCCAAGGGAGGCTGTCAACGGCGGAGCTACGTGGGGGCGAACCTGGGCCATCGCCCCCCAGCAAAAACGAATTTTTTTACTACCCCTATATGTATTACACACAGCCCACGACCAGAAGGCCCATTTATCAACTGTTGTCTTCGTTGCGTGGAGACAAACGAATCCAGCCAGCCACCAAATCGATTTCCCCTTTGACCTACAGCCTGCGACCGCGGACGCATGACGACCTGAGCGTGCGGGTGGGGCACCGGCGTCCGGCAGGCGGCCGCTGTGGCTTGCCGGCGTGGCCGCGTGGGGGTGACCGCTGGCCGCTGGCGGGTGGCCGGCTAGACGCTCCAATCCGGCCTCTGCTGTGGAGAACATCAGGCAACATCGGCGCCCTGTAGTGCCTCGGTGAGCCGGTGAGCATCCGCCCTTGCTAGATCTTACTTTTTCTCGTTTACGTTGCCTAGTCTTCTAGTCAATTTCTCCAATCTGGGCGTCCTAGCAAGCTAGCTAGCTACTTTGTCAACACTGCTCTGTACTGGTTATTTGGACCCTGTCAACACTGCTTGCTGGATCTCTGTCTATCTTTCCCCTCTGGAAATTATAGGAAGTTCAATTATTTTGATTCTGAAGTTTATTTCACCTTAGTTGAGGAAAATTCTAATTAGGTCATCTGGTCATGGATTTATTCAATTGCATTTTGTACTGAATAGAAAATGTCATTTACAGTGAGATTGTGAGAGGGAGGCGTGATGCTTAAGGGGAAAAAGATTGATGCATTTTTCAAAAGAAAGAGAGGTGATTCAGTTGATGAACCAACAGCAACCGAAGCAATGCCTATTCAGCCAACGAACTGTGTTCAACCTCCTCTGTTGTTGCTCGAATTTGAGCAACACGGACCACATCCTTCAATGCCTCAACAGCAAGGACAAAGCCATCAAACTCAAACAAATGAAGTACTATTTCAAGGGATTGAATTCTTGCAGCGAGATCCAGCACTACGTCCACAGATTTGGCAATATCCACCTAATCAAAGAGATGATGTGCGGCGAGCATATTTGAAGCTTGGTATTATGCAGCCCCGTTTGCAGAATTACAAAGCCTATGGTCCAGAAGGTCGCAAACGACGCTTTAAGTATGACTGGTTCAAGGATTTCCCATCATGGTTGGAGTACTCGGAGGACAGTCATCGTGCATATTGCTTCTATTGTTTCTTGTTCGGCAAAAACAAAAACAAGAAAGGTGGTTCAGATGTCTTTACAGTGCGAGGATTTGTAAACTGGAAGAAGGTCCATGATGGAAAGAAATGTGCTTTCTTAAACCACATAGGTTCTGAACCTTGCTCTGAACATAATAATGCAACCAAAGCATGCCATGACTTCTTGAATCAGCAAGGCCATTTAGAAAATGTTGTAGCAGTGGGCAACCAGAGGGATATAGAAAGAAACCAACTGAGGGTGAAAGTATCAATTGCAGCAGTTAAGTGGCTTACAACACAATCGTGTGCATTTAGAGGCCATGATGAAACTCCAGACTCAAAGAACAGAGGGAACTTTATTGAATTGTTAAAGCTCCTTGCAGAATTCAATCCAGAGATTGCCGAAGTTATTTTGGAGAATGCTCCATACAGTTCAAAGTAGACATCACATGAAATCCAACAGGAGATTTTGGGTATTTATGCATTGAAAGTTAGGAAACATATCCGTGAAGAGATTGGGGATTCTAAGTTTTCTATTCTAGTGGACGAGACATGTGATGTAGCAAAAAGAGAGTAGATGGCATTGGTCCTCAGATTTGTTGATGAAGATCGTATATTGCAAGAGCGGTTCTTTGCCTTGATACATGTGACGAACACCAAAGCCGCAACACTTAAAGAGGTATTGAGTTCTATGTTATCCAAACATGCTTTTGATGTTCAGAACCTTCGTGGGCAGGGATACGATGGGGCTAGTAATATGAGGGGGGAGTTCAATGGCTTGCAAGCTCTTTTTCTTAGAGAATGCCCGTATGCATATTATGTCCACTGCTATGCTCATCGCTTGCAACTTGCTCTAGTGTCTGCTTCGAAGGAAGTGGTCACTGGTGCTCAATTCTTTCAGAAACTTCTTTTTATTGTAAACACCGTTGACTCCTCTGCAAAGCGCCATGATGAGCTTCGTGATGCCCAGTTGGAGGAACTAGCTCGGTTACTAGCTATTGATGACATTGAAACTGGTAAAGGGGCAAACCAGATCTGCACACTAAAACGACTTGGAGACACTAGACGGGGGTCTCACTTAGGTTCTATATCCAGCCTAAAGAAAATGTTTAATGCAGTACATTCAGTACTTCAAAACATAGCATCTGATGGGTCAGCTGGCTCAATTCGTGCAGATGGAGACACTGCTTTCAACTACTTATCTTCTTTTGAGTTCATATTTGTCTTATGTCTGATGGAAGAAGCATTGGAGATAACTGAAGATCTTGGTCAAGCTTTGCAAAAGAAATCACAGGACATAGTAAATGCCATGCGTCTAGTGTTCACAACAAAGGTTCGTCTTGATGAAATGAGACCAGATGATGGTTGGGAGGCCTTCTTTGATAGGGTTGTCGAGTTCTGTGTAAATCATTCCATTGATATTCCAGATTTGGGAGAAACTTACATTCTGCGTGGTGGTCGTGCTCGTCGCCAACCAGATCATTTTACTAAGGAGCACTATTTCTGGGTGGAAGTATTTCGTGCAACACTTGATACTCAACTACATGAATTAGAATTCAGGTTCAATGACAAGGTGCTGGATCTATTGACCACTAGTGCTACCCTGATCCCTAAAAATAAATTCAGATCTTTCAAAACTGATGATATTTATGAGTTAGTCAAGAAATATTATCCAGCAGATTTCACCCAACAAGAAATCTATGGATTGGAGCAGCAACTAAAACACTTTGTTGTGGATGCCTCCAATGATAAAGATTTGAAAAATGTGTCAACCTTAACAAATCTTTGTCGATATCTCTTTGAGACGGGAAGACATTCTATCTACAATTTGGTTGATCGATTGTTGCGATTGCTTCTAACTCTTCCAGTTTCTACAGCAAGTGCCGAGCGAGCATTCTCAACTTTGAAGATCATTAGGACAAGGCTACGTAATACCATGGAAGATGATTATCTAGCCAATAGCTTGCTAGTAAAAATAGAGTGAAATCACGAAGAAGTACAGTTATGAAGATGTTCTTGTGCACTTTAAGGGTGCAAAGAAACGGAAAGCTAATCTGTAGTGCAGTGTTGCTGTAGTGAACCGAATGCTCCATGGTTAAATGGTATTTTGGTATAGTTTCTTTTATTATGGAGTAGGTTATATATATATATATATATATATATATATATATATATATATATATATATATATATTTGTAAGCTACTATGGAGAAGATCAATATAATTGTATAAGTTTCTAGATATTTGCAATATCTAACTTGTTATATTCGTATGCTTTTGTATTTGAGTTTTTTTAACAGCTTCGCCCCTCTAAAGATTTCTTTCAAGCTCCGCCACTGGAGGCTGTAGTACTTGGCATAGGGCTATAGCCATTTGCACAGCTGGTCACCTACGGCACGGACCTTGAGCACGTCATGGTAGCTACGTTGGCTATGAACCTAGTTATGTTTTTTAAATGCAAAAAATATTAATTTGTGAAGTCTCATCAAAAAAGAATTTTCTTTTTAAGGAAAGATGCAGGCCCGACTTCATAAATCAAGCCAACTGACAAAAGATGCAAGTACAGCCAACCAGGCAACCAAATACAGGAAATCGCTCCTTCGCACACGCGCGTTGGGACGCTCGATCGGACAGTGCGCGAAGCGCCATGTTCCTTCCTGTTTCCTTTTGTGTACGGGCCCACCACGTGATCAACAAATCAATACCAAAATCCACTACCTTTTGCGTGCACGGGAGGTTACTCTCATGTAGCAGCTGGACCCACTATAGTTGCATGCACATGGGCCCACCATCTCCCCCTAATCTCTCTGCCCCCTAACGGAAAAAAATTATATGAGACCAGGTCTCATATAAAGCAAGTGAGACCCGTTCTGATGGATGACACGTGGCATTCATAAATCACAAAGCATCTAACCTCCCCCCTGATTTCAGGTGGATTCTACGAGACCAGGTCTCACAGGTTAGCAGATGAGATATAAAACAGGTGAGGTTAGATGCTTTGTGATTTGTGAATGCCACGTGTCATCCATCAGGACGGGTCTCACTTGCTTTATATGAGACCTGGTCTCATATAATTTTTTCCCTATTCAACGGGGTGGGGGCCGGCGTGTACCCCATTCTCTCGCCTGTTTATACTAGTTAAAATGGAAACACGCCTGATTAGCATTTAATTAATCAGGAAATCACAGCTGGTCGGCACGCAGGCCATCTACGTACGCACACCACAACAGCAGACTAGGATAGCACAAACAAAATCCTAAGGCATAGGTCTTGAACTCTTGATCCCGTTGGGAGATAGATATTGCCATAGCTCAAACACATGAGATCAGCAACTCGGCTTGTCACACTCCTTAATCAATGATTTTCGTTGACATAAAAAAGATGAGAAGCTTTTTTGAAATGAACGCAGGAGAGCTGCGTATTTCATTGATTAGGAGGGGCGAAAGAGCGCCAAGTACAGGGTGCAGGTTAACGCATTAGCTTGCGGAACAAGAAACTGAAATGAAAAGAGAAGAAAAGGAAAAAAGGTGATCGGCCTGGGCTACTCTCGCAGAGCTAGATGCCGGCCGCCTGCCAGCGCCCAGTCGCTTGCCTCCGATAGCGGGAGGTGCAAGACTTGCCGTGGCGAGCGCTCTGTGCCGCCGTCGAAGATGCGTGCGTTACGTTCCTTCCAGATCCACCAAAAAACGAGGAGAGCAACCGATTTCGCCAGTTTCCGGGTGGAAACCACGCGGCTCATGTCGCTGATCCACTCGACCCAGGGTGTACCCAGCGCCCATGCGTCAGGGTTTAGCTCTGGGATTGTGAAACGGTGCGCCACCAGTGCCCATAACCGCCACGCCCATGGTTAGTCGCCGTCTCCAGGTTCCGCATGCATAACGGGCAGAAGTAGGAGTTGGGCCATTGCCGGGCAAGCAGGCGGTCGACCGTGAGGATCCTCCGCTGGGCGAGCAACCAGGCAAATATGCGGCATTTGGCCGGAGCCCAGGCTTTCCAGATCCCGTGACGCAGTGGGAAGACAGCGGATCCGATGAAGAAGAGCTTGTACACCGAAGCCATCTTGTAAACACCATTGTCCGATAATCTCCCGCGGAAGGAGTCCACGCTGTTGGGGGTGAGCGGCTGCATGGAGTTGACACACACCCATAGCCTGAGGAAGGAAGGCAGCAGGTCGGTGGTCACCTGGCCGCGGAGGTCTTGGATCCATTTGTCGCCTGACAGCGCTTGACACACGGAGCGCGCCTTGCGCCTGGAAACCGGGAAGAGGTCGGGGGCGATCACGAGCGGCGCCCCCTCATGCAGCCAACTATCATACCAGAAGTTGGCTCGGTTGCCATCCCTGATGGTGACCGCGCAGGCTGCCGCGAACATGTGCCGAGGCAGTGTCACCGGGACCGGGAGCCCGTGCCAGGGAACAACTGAGGTCCTTTCCACCCAAAGCCAGCGCAGGTGAAGCGCCACACCGAATCACCCCAGGTCGATGACACCGAGCCCGCCGAGGTCACGCAGGCGGCATACGCGGCCCCACGCGACCTTGCAGTGCCCGCGGTGGCACATATCCTCCCCACGCCATAGCCAGGCACGTCGCAGCCGCTCTAGCTCCTTACGAAACCAAGACAATAGTGCGTAGATAGCCGACCAGTAGACGGTAAATGTCGAAAGGACAGAGTTGAGGAGAACGAGCATGCCAACCAGGGTGAGGAGTCTGGCCTTCCAGCGCGCCAGGCGCGCGCGGAGCTTGTCAAGCAGCGGATGCATGTCGACCTTACGCAGAGCCCGAAGCGATAGCGGCAACCCCAGGAATTTGCAGGGGAAGCTCTCAACCCTGGCCCTCTGGGGTGAGATCACATCATGCACATACAGCTGCTCGCAAATTATTGGGAGGACGACACTTTTCTCAAAGTTGACCTTGAGCCCGGAGGCTAAACCCAAGGTAGCGAGGATGGAGCGCAGGGCAGCTAGCTCGGTCTTTACAGGGTTTGAGAAAGAGGGCGACGTCGTCGGCATACAGGGAGGTACGCAGCTGCGGCAACCGACCCTGGAGCTTGGAAAGCACTCCTGGGTCCACTACAACTTCCAGGAGCCGTTGGAGGGGCTCCATGGCGAGGATGAATAGGAAAGGCAACAGAGGATCGCCCTGACGCAAGCCATAACAGTGAATGATGGGACGGCCAGGTACCCGATTGATCAGAACCCACGACGAAGAGGTGGCTAGAAGCAGGGAGATCCAGTCGCACCACCTCGCACCAAAACCCCGGGCGCGGAGCATGTCAAGCAGGTATGGCCAGGAGACGCTGTCGAATGCTTTGGCGATGTCGAGCTTAACAAAGAGCATGGAACATTTGACGCGGTGGAAGTGGCGTGCCATCCGACGAGCGAACAGAAATTGTCCTGGATGCAACGCCCTTTGATGAAGGCAGACTGGGCAGGGCCAACAAGATC